ACACATATCACCACAAGTGGAAGTGCCTTCCGGACTCTTGGGGCAGCGACCACTTCCCAATCTTCTTTGAATTCTCGCCTACAAAGAAGATCAAAGACAAATCCAAGCGGAGAGTGGCTAAAACCATTCACTGGGACAAGTTCAGGGCAACGCTGGAAGAAGGTAACTTTGAAGGGTCCAGGTTCGAGAGCCTCCTAAACAGCGCCCTGCAAGGAGCTACGATTACTACGAACGTCGATGAAGACGCTCCAAATCCCGACCTCCACCTATTACGGCTCTGGGCTAAACGGCTGCAGGTGGTACAAAAGTACCGAAAGGGTCGCAAAACTCCCCAAGGCAGACACGCCATAACAAGAGCTACTGTAGAGGCCAAGGAATACGCCCAACAATTAGATACACGCCGATGGCTGGACTACAGCCATTACGAAGCTATGGGCTACAAATCGGGCTCTGCTTGGAAAGAAGAAGGTAAAAGGAGCGACGCTCACGCTGGCTCTCAAGATGAATAAGACGGAAGAACAGCTCGCAGGAATGGCGGGGGATCTCTTTTTCCCACAGTCAGACGTGAACGACTGCCCTTCTCTGTACGACGTAGAAATCTTGGCCCCGGACGACGGCATGGACCGACCGTTTACGAGGGGAGAACTCGAGTGGGCGCTACACAAAGGAAAATCCCGATCGTCGCCCGGGCCGGATAAAATCACCATGACCATGCTTAAGAACTTTCCAGAAAACACAAAAGAACAGCTCCTCGAATAGGTGAACCACATCTGGGTCACCGGAAAGCTCCCTGAGCAGTGGAAGCATTCACTTGTCGTTCCCATTCCCAAACCCGGAAAAGACAAGGGATCACTCAATAACTACAGACCTATCTCGCTAACTTCATGTACCTGTAAGGTCATGGAGCGGATGGTATTGGCACGAATTGACTGGCACCTAGAATCCTCTGGCACCTTCCATCCCTCCCAGACTGGTTTCCGATCCTGCCTCGGAACACAGGAAAGCCTCGCCCTCATCTCGGCAGAAGTCATAAGAAATATTGGACTCAACTGCGCGGCGATAAGAACAGTCGTGGCGGTTGACATCAAAAAAGCGTTCGACTCTGTACCCCACACCTCCATCATCAGCGAAGCCTGACAATTTGGCATAGCTGGAAGGCCGCTGAACTTCATCAAGAGCTTTCTAGAAGGAAGGACGTTTTCGGTCCGCTGTGGCACGCACGACAGTGATCCGAAGATGAACCAAGTTGGGGTCCCTCAGGGTTCCGTCCTCTCACCAACACTATTTAACCTCGCAATGGCAGCCCTGCCGCATGAGCTCGCCAAAATACCTGGACTCGGTTTTACCGTGTATGCGGATGACATCACAATGTGGACGAAAGGAGAAGACATTGCAAAGCAGCAAGACACACTTCAAGCAGGCCTCGACACAGTCGACGCTCACCTAGCCAGGGTAGGAATGCAAGCATCTGCAGAAAAGACCCACTACACCGTGGTGGCACCAAGAAAACACAGAAATGCCAAGATCGCAGAACGATTTAATCTCGTACTCGCGGGTAAAAGAATCAAACCCTCCCCTTCAGTCAGGATCCTAGGGATTATTATCGAAGAAACGGGCAAGGGAGACATCTGGTTACAAGACACAATCAAGTACTGCAACTCCCCGCTCAACGCAATCAGGCGTATATGCAGCGCAAGAGGAGGCGCGACTGAAAACGAAGCCAAACGGATGGTCAAAGCCCTCGTAGTCTCGCGCGTAGTCTACGGAGCCCGCCACTACTGGCTCAACAAGGGACAGTGGTAGAAACTGGAAACCTTAAACAATCAAGCAATGCGTGTAATTACCGGCCTTCCTAAGTTTACCCCCCTCGGCAAACTGCGGGAACAAGCCGGTATCAACAAACTCCATGACGTAGTAACGGCCCGCACGGTTGCCCACAGTGAGCGCCTCAAGCTTACTGGACCAGGCAGAGAGATTATAAAGCTCCTCCACAGACCCACGGAGAACCTCCCAGAACTACCCGAGCAACTTCCACCATGGGAAGACCTTGCGGAGATCACCGACAACAAGCCTAGTGCACGCAAGGGGGACACCAAGCAGCTAACACGTAAAGCCAAGGCGCACACTAAGATGGTAGAAGCATGGGATCCGAGTTGCATCATGGCTGCCTACACGGATACCGCATCGCTAGACGGCCCCGTCACCCTGAAGACGGCAGCTACAGCCATCCCTGCCCTACAAATCAGCGCTACCAAGCAGCTCCCCGAAGGCGCCTCGACCAAAGGAGGAGAACTCACAGCAATCCGCCTCGCCCTCGAGACGGTCCTCGCACTCCCCGACCCGCTAACAGCGAATCTTCGGATATTTACAGATTCGCAAGAGGCGGTGAGGGAATGTAGAATAAGGAACAGTCCAAGCCGGATAGTCCGCTCGATAAAGAAACTTTCTTCTCAACTAGCTTCAAGAGGCACCACCACAAGAATTGCATGGGTTCCCGGTCACGCGGGCATACCCGGCAACGAACAGGTACATTGCCTGGCCCGCGCGTCGCTTATTCTTCCCCGCGGTTCGGACGACATACCTGCAGCACAACATGACCACGGGTACGGCCACGCTCGCGAACGGGCTCAGGCCAAATGGGAACCACAAGAATATGATACAGACGAGGTTCGGGCCAAGATCAGAGAAGAGAAGATCTAGCAAAACTCGAAGAGAAGCTCCCCGGAAACCCAGATCCGCTCCCTTGTACGGGTTTTGGAAGACGGGCGAGAGTTCTCCTGACTCGAGTGAGGACGGACACCACACTAACACCAGCGCGCATCGCATCTTGGAGCCAAGAAAAAAGATCCGGAACTTGCTCCAAGTGCAATATGGGCGTCAAGGCAGACGTTTTTCACTTGCTGTGGGAGTGTCCAGAGTACAAAGACATAAGGGCAAGACATCGACCAACAGACATCGCATCTATGGAGGGGTGGACACATCCACCAGGCTCCGAGAGTGACAGACGAAGAGTCTTGAAAGGTCTCCTGGATTTTATCTATGAGGCCAAGCTGGACATATTCATTTAGATTTAGTTACCTTTCCTTAGTGCCAGCGTCCAGATCTTGATATCACCGGCGCACTCCCTCATACCCCCTTCCCTCTTTTCTTCCCTTTCTTTTTTTTTTTTTTTCTTTTTCTATGGCATTAAACGTTTTCTGACTGATCGTCCGGCGAACATTCAAGTCAACTCACGCCTGTGCGTAGCTTCCTGTGTTTTTCTAGAGATTTGGTTAAATTCCTCGAGCACGACGTCAGCTGCCAGCTGTTTACTGCTGTACATGGTAAAACCCGCGACGGAACCAAAAAGGACAACCGCGATACTTTTATCTGCCTCGAGTTTTAGGAGGTGCCTACCAAGGTTGCCTGTACTTGTTTGTTTTCTGCCAGTTTAGGCGAACTAAGCCACACGCTCGTTTCGCCCGGTTCAAATTTGAATAAATGATAACCAACGCACAAAGAAAACAAGTTTCAAGTACTTTTTGAGATTTTTGAAGTGACTTTTACTATTGAACGACTGCATGCACTTGAGTGTTCAATTCAAGAGTTTATAAAACGTGATTACCCCATGCTTGTCACCTGCCAACAGGGTGCTAACTCTCAGTGGCTCGAGCCCAGTGGGTAGTTAAGTAAGCCTGTGGGGTAGTTACAGCCGTCAAAACGCACGATGACGAGGGGGGGTGCTCACTTTTTCTTAAAGTGTAACCGGAAGTCTCCAACAAAACACTTTTAACTTCCTCTAATCTATTAATTTTAATCAGACGTGTGGAATAGTTGCAAGGTAGAAAATTCAATAGGTTGACGTTCAAAATACACACTAAAATTATATATAACTAAGCATACCGGCCCGTCGCCGCTACCACTGAAAAATATTGAAAACATACTAATCATAGGGAAGTATGTAATTCCCCTTTGACAGTGTAAATCGCGATAAGCTCACTTTTTCATCAAATCAGTCACTGCTGTTTTCGAATCCTTAATATGATGATGATGATGATGAGGATGCGGCTTGTTCCCTTTGAAACGGGCGAGCGCGAACTAAGTTCGTGCCCAAGCCTGGGAGTGAGCATCATATTCCTCCAATCTTCAAGTCTTCGTTTAGTGGCACCTAAAAGCCTGTCCCGGCCGCTAGAATGCTCCTTTATCTGCGTAGCTGCACAGCTTTGTGCATCATCAGAGTAGTCCATGCACCAAAATAGATTAACCAATTGTGGTGTAAAATAAGGAATGATATAATGTGTTTCATACAGGTAGGCATCACATTTTTTTATCTTATAAATACTTTCTGTTACCCACAATATATCGCCTTTAGTTTGTTGACATGACAACTCCATGTAAGTTCCTCAGAAAACCATTCAACCAAAAAATGGGAAACACGCGGGACCGTCGTGACGTCACCCGTCACCCTCCTGACGTCACGAGGGTCACCGATGACGTCACGAGGGCGACGTTTCGGCACGGTGACGAGTGACATCACGAGGGTGACGGGTTACGTCATGACGGTCCCGTGCGTTGCATTATGGAACGTTTCCCATAATGCGCCGCACGGTTGCGCCGACGTCGACGCCGCTCAAACCGGAAACAGGCGCCTAAGACCTGTGCTCTATAAGTTTTCTTCTACCACTTGCCCCAACAATGTGCCTTCAAGTGTCATATCAATAGGACTGTATTCTTGTATATTTATTGGCTTAGAGCTATATGCTTATAGATTCATTGGTTATTGATTGTGGGTGATTTATTTATAACCACTTTGACAATTTCCAAAGATATTCATTAGTCAACTTTTTAAGCACTTTTGGCTACACACGCAATTAATATATTTATGATGTCTGTACATATTAATAATTCAAGGAAACCTGGTACTGCTGTCGTACCCCTACACGTACACGAAGAATAAGAGTCCCTAGGTCAGAGTACTGAAGAACGCCACCACGTATTTCACTATATTAAATGAATAATAATAATAATAATCTTGATTTTTATTTGCCCAAAAACAACCCGGAGGTCTTCACTTTGGCCCACAAGTCAATGCTAAGATTGAACAGAAACAAAGTAACACAATAAAAACAAAGCAAAGCACAGGTCAAAGGTGTGTTGGAAGCACTTCCGATTGCAATATCTATATACGTATTGATAAAGATCTCTAAGATATGTTTTATATTAGTCATAGCGTAACTCCTCGTACACCATAGAATTCAAGCTTTTTTATTAAAATATTGTGTTGCACAGTATCTTACTTTATGATATGATACATACATATACATACATACATACAACTTTGGTATGATACATATAATACCGAAGTTGAACAACTTGGATAAAAAAAGTCTAACACTTCTATTCTTGACGTCAATCAGTGCTTATTCTGCTGGCTTATTCTTCTGTGAACCAGATTGAAACTGCGCTAATATTTGATGCTTCTGAAAAAATATCTTAACCTGTCACTGATAAGGCGCTCGAAATTATATCAGAATACCGGAAGAACAAAATTTTTTCTCTAATTATAACATTTGTCTGTGCCTCCCTCATACGCAGGGGTTAATTCGGCTATTTTTAATTCTTCAGGAAACTCACCAGACTAAAGCATCATATCTACAATATAGGACAAAATGGCAATCGTAATAGTTACAGTCGGATTTAATGTCTTCAATTACCAAGTTTGGCGTGCACTCCATTGGCTTAGTCATCTTATTCAGTTTGGCATTTTTTAAACATCAGTCAGGTTAGTGATTCTCAGAACGTTGGCATGCACAGAATGACGCCAACGTTGGCACGTTGGCGTACTCGCGCTAAAAGTAACCCCCAGAGGAGGACACGAACTTCCATCCAACAAGTCTCTTCTTGACTATCGCAGCAACCAGTCTTTTTTTTTTTTTGGCCGTTTGATTGAATGAGAACACATTAAAATAATTAAAATTGCTTTACGGTATGTTCAAGGGGTGCTTAACTCAGTGTGGATCCTCCCTTCGCGATAGGAGTTGAGGGTGTCATGACGTCGGGGTGCAACGCTCCACCGTTATCTCTTAGGCAGATTCGATACATTCATAATCATTAGCAGAAAAAGGCCCTGATGGCGCTCTTGATTGGAGTTCTGCACATGGGACAGGTGTCGACGGCTGATGCGCAGTTCACGCACGCTACCAGGTGTTGGCAGGGTAGGAACAGCACGCTCTTTTCGTCGTCCAAGCACACAGCGCACGGGTTTTGTACCGATGAACTGGCCTGCTTTTTGGTCACTGCAGGGAAAGGAACATTTGGAAAAATAAATGACTGAGGACAGCGGTTAAAATAATCACTCGCGCTTCATTTCTGTTTGTACACTTTTTTTTTTCTGCATTTATGTAAGTTGGCACCATATATTTTCTATTCTCATCTCCTCTATAGATACCGCACACTATTCAATTTACGTGCTTATATTTTTATGAGCGTTTGAAGAGTCAATCGCTGCGATATATAACGATAACATAGAGAATAACCGAGCCGAAAGATCGTTTATTCCAAAAACATTCGGTAGTCACATAGCTCTCAGAATGACGTCTTACACACCCCCGCTTGGCTTAACCTCGCATCATACGCATACTTTTTTAACAAAGAATATATTACAATGAGAGTCTGACGAGAAGCCAACAGTATTGCATTCAATCAAGGTTAAGCATCGTGGGTCACTAAATAAATAGGAACACAAGTGATAAAACCATATTTCCTTTTGCCTATTAGCTTGTTAAGCGTCTAAACAATGCACCATTGTCATATTGCGCAAATACCATGCTTGAAAGGGCAGCTGACCAAGAGCAAGCCTCACGAGGCACGAGGTCGGCTCCTAATTTTAGGTCGCCGCTGAACATCCTTAGTGGAAAAAAAACAACAACAAAGAGGCTCGCACGTGGTAAAACCCTATATCGACGTACTTAGTTGAGCATGAAAAAAAGGACCCCCATATGGCTGCTGGTGTGAGACCGCATTTCTTGGTTTACTTTGTCGTTTGACACTCTGATAAGCTGGACGCGTGGCCGCCGTAAACAACACTCAATCGTTATCCTCCGGGCAAAGTGCGAGGGGACTGGCCTCAGTGTAGCTATACGTGGTCGCGTGGAGTGTCTTTCTGGTGAAACACGTACTGCAAAGGTCTGCTTAGGACAATCAATCGGTGAATAGAGTGTTTTCTAAATCGCGGAAAATACTGTAGTATAAAATCTGGAGGATTATGTTGCAGCTCTAATACCCTGCGACTCTCCACACATCGACATGGACACCCGATCTAGAAAGTGGCTATTCGATTCACGATAAAACAGTGATGGCTGCAAGATTAGCATTTTCTTGAATCACCTGTGGCTGGTTGACAAACGTAAAGAGGCCGATGAGGAAGGAGCAGAGAAAGAACAATGGCAGCAGAAGACGGAAGAACAACAGAAGACGTATCTTTCTGTCGTTCTTATCCTGTTCCTTCCACTTTGGCTTCGTCACGCTCATCACCCCGTTTCATGTGTCTAAAAAATAGTATTGGATTCAGCTTTTATGTCCAAAAGCTGGGCACCAGACTGATCCTTATTCAAAACTTTAGAACGCACGTTTACCTAAAGTTACCTGTAATATCTTCAATTTTGTCACAGTACATTCAGACATAACATACCAATCTCTCAGACATGCTCTTGAAATATCGCTGGAAGTAACCGCGACGAGAGTTACTACGTTGGTTTACCAAACACCTAGGTGTTTGTAAATATGAACTTCTAGAACGTACTTTGTACGATCTGCTATCTTCAGCAGACCTTTCGGTCGTACGAATCTTTTTAAGTGTGTGGGTGTGTCTGTGCGTGTGCGTGTGCGTGCGTGCGTGCGTGCGTCCGTGCGTGCGCGCGCGCGTTTGTGTGTGTATGTGTGTTTGTTTGTTTGTTTGTTCGTTTGTTTGTTTAACTGTTATTCCGTCAGACGGACTCATTGAGTGACACTTCAAGCGAGAGCACTTTGCCGCATTGAGTGTTATTTCAAATGCTTCGGTGTTACGCGGTGAAAATTAGCCTCACTCAGAAATGATGTCAATTACGATGGGAAAAGCAAGAGGAACACACATATTCAAATATATCCGTTCATTTCTTCGTTATATTTTTCTGTTCTTAATAAAAACACGTTTCCATACATTGTTTCATTGCTTTACGCCAATTTGATTACTATAATTATCATCACAAGCCGAAGCAAGTACAAAGTAGCTAGATAGGGCAAGGAGGGGCGAGAGGAGACAGTGAAAAATTAGACTTTCTGCGTTTAGTGTCACACTGTATTCCAAACTTGCTATGTGATTAATTTCATAGTTTTCCTACATGTGCCGCCGCTTGCCTTTTTTAATTCTTAAAACTTATTCTAAAAGTGATAGAAACATGGTGGCGTGAAAAAAACAAAAATGCGCAGTTATTGTTCATGGATCGACGAGCCGCACACTAGCGCTAAAACCCTGCAATTGCATTCTTGTGGAGGCGTGGAGCTGACTATGGAAAAACTACTGTACCAAAGCAAGCTCTTAATTTATTTGTTTGTTTCATTCGCTAACTGTTGATAAAATTGCATTGTTGCAGGTTTTCATTGTTTCGACAATAAAATTGCCTAAATAAAAACGTATACAAGGGACAAAACGCGACAATATTACTATCAAGATCCGTAAAGGTATTTTTTGGCGAGTTTAATATTTGTTTCTGAGCTAAGAGCTATAATCGTTTTGGTCCTTGCATAAAAAAAAAAAGAAAGAAACCAAGCTTTAAGGTGAAAAAATTACATGAATAAAGCACTTCGAAGTGTGCCTCAGCAGCCTTGCCCTACTAAATCGAATGACAGGTGCAAAGCAACGGAGCTAACGAAGCCACAGAGCACGTTAACGGTACATCATGGAGGGTCACGCTGAAGAACTCGTTAACTCCAGAGAAATTTTGATAGCCATGAAGTTACCTCAAGATTGATTCAGCCCATTAATAGACACATATAACCTAATATACCACATTTCAAGTCACATTAACACTTTTTTTTATTGTTCTTGTTGGTGTCACTGTCTTTTTGTTATTTTTTTTGTTTTTCGGAGACAATTGGATTTTTAAATTGTTTGGGGAGGCTGAGAGGCTCTACAGGCCACACAAAAAACGTGACGTCAATTCTGGCAATATAGGGTAGTAGGGTCGCTTTACAGCATGCTCTCGACGGCTTGCGACAAGTTTGAGGGTGTAAAACAAAGGCTAACTAAACTCACGTCAGCAAAAAAAAAAAAATTACGCAGACTATTGTTTTTACGCAGCCAGCTTAACTTGCGAGTTGTACAATAAGTGACGTCGCCCCAGTGGAAATCGCGGGGAAACTTAAATATTGGTTTTGGCATTACATTTTTTTTGCCGTTTTCTTAACAGCTATTCTAAACTTAGATTTTATAAAGAAAGTGCCGAAAATAGTACGTCCCTGGGCATTTCGAAAATATGAGTAGTCTGGGTATCTCAAAAGAAAAACGCCTTTGACGCGTTATATCGAACCATGAAAGTGCGTGGTAGGAGCCCATTAATGTGTGCCATACCAGCGCCGTTCCGACCGGACGCAGCTAGAGCTCGATCTCGAAGCACAGGAAAGAATTTCAGCAACCTCGATTAAAGACGCTCGCTTGATGTACGCATCATTTCAAACATTGAAAGCCAGATACTACAACGCATGCTCGTTCGTCGCCTCGGAGAGCGAGTACACCGAGCACCGCATGCACGAACGTCGCAGATGGCTTTTCGCAATAATAGCGCAACGTGCACGTTGAAATGAACGATAGCTGATTGCACGTTTGTTTCTCGGCAATATATTCCTTTCGGCTGCGTGAAACCCGCGCACACTTAATATTAAACTGCCAGGTGCTACTATGCAAATTAATTCATTTTGACTCAACATTGTTATTGTTCATTGTTTACTCCCGATATCCCGCACTCGGGTTGCTAGATAGATGTTTGCGCTTCTGACGTATCCAAGATCCACTAGCGATGACGTCACGCACAGGCCTTGCCTTCTAGGTGGTGTTGGCAGGATCGAGGGCAGTGAGTCCGCCGAACTCGCTCGCTGCATGGTGAGTGTGTTCTTCGATAAGTGACACTATAAGGCTGCCGTGTAGCACCGCACGAGTGACACTGAGGACCAAGTATACGCTTGCTTCATGCGATACTAAAACTATCCAATCTGGGAGGTGTACTACGTGACTCAGTTCAGCCTTTGTAATGAGCTGGATTTCATAGCACGGATTGGCATTGACATTGCGGAAGTCTGACATAATATATCAATAAATCAAGAACATGCTGTATATCGGATTTCCCATGAACTCGTGTAAAACAAGAGCGCTCGGAGCAAAGTTGCAACTGTTGTAAAGTTACTTGGGAACGTTGGTCCACTCAACCGCTTGCGTAAAATTAAAAATATCCCATCCGTGGATGCTGTGAAGTTGTTACGCTCTTTTCTTGGTGCTTTGTTTTATGGGAATGATAAACCTGATTCAATTTTCAGCCAACTCGCGGTCTTAAAAGACTATTTCTGAATAATTTGAGACGTGCAAGCACCGGATGCAGGTTTGTGGCAAATGATGCCGGCAAATAAGTTGTCACTCCTAATTAAATTTATTACTGTCATTTTAAACCAGATAAATATCAAATATGTTTAAACTCTTTGCAAATCCCATGCCTGTTGAATGCCAATTGTTAGAAAGTAGTCTTTCTTATTTGATTCGCACCTGTTATGATAGCCGTAAGTTCTGTTTTCTATTAGATAGTTTTAAAGTCAGCTAATTCGCGTTGATATAAAAAAGGAAGAAAAAACTTACCCTTCACATCGTTCTTTGATATCCTGGTGATTTCTTTCAGCGATTCTTCTATGTGACTCTTTTCAATGCCCGCAATCGGAACTCCTTTCTTCAACAGCATTCTGACTGCCTTCCTAAAAGTATCTTGGGTTATGTTAAACTTTTGGTAGAACTCCAGGCATGACGAGTCTATATTTCTTGCGATGACCTCGTCGATTTCTTGTACTTCATATTCTTCTCTCTCGTTCTGTAAAAATGTATATGGAAACAATTTTCTATGTGCTTTAGAATACATCCACGATGAATGTAAGATGTACCATAGTTTATGGCAAAATTACCTGTGCTGAGCCTTCACTAAAAAGTTCATAACACTTCAAGAATTTCTGCCTGGCTTATCAATCATACCCTCGAAAAATATGGTTTAGTAAGAAAAAAAAACGTGCCTAATAATTTTTACTCAACAAGAAAAACACATCATTTCATGTTTACACTGTGAGGTTCCGAGATAGTAGAATTACCTCTTGGGGTAGCTAAACTAACTGAATATCCTCACAGCAGTACCTTCTTCTGCTGTTGGGGTTGTATTTTAAACCGCTATATATAAATGTGACAATACGTGTGGTGCGCAAAACAATATACACTTATTGTGCATTAATTCAGCCATTTTATATACATGCTGAGTCAAAATTTTAACGATCATATTTAGACAATTTTTTTAGACCAAAAACACACAAAACGAACATTCATGATAGCTCGTCGCACAAAAACACATAATTAATCATTTCGGAGAAATACTGTTTTCGTAATTTTTATTGTTTATATAGATTTTTCTACTATCGAATTCGCATCAAAACTAAATCTTTAATTTTTCTTTGTATAAAATTTTATACATTGAACGTAACGCTAAATAAAATTAAATAAAACCCAGCGCGTAATCCAGCAGGTACATAAGCCAAGAATGTGATCAATGATGCAAACAATGTACTGCATTAAAGAAATTGACGAAAATATTATTAGCACAAAATATACGAGCACTTGTGAAACTACCAGAACCGTTCAAGTTGCCACGTTTTCATAGACACAGGTGACAGTTCGTTTTAGTAGACGTTCTCATATAACGCAACGTGTTGCTTATTACCGTTTCTAGAACATCTTGTTGTCGCTTGGATATCTCGGCATTTTCTTGCGGTCCCAGACAAAGAAGGACGTAAGCGCAGTCTGGATACCACCGGACATGCTCTATAAGTGGATCGTCGTGTTCGTCCCAGTGGAACAGAGCACCACCACAGCTGAAGCATATCACCCTGTCCATGTACCCTGGAGAGAGAAAAAAAAGAAAGCACAAAACTTGTCAGCTCTTCTTCCCTAATCTCTAAGTTAATCAAAAAAAGTTCCAAGTGTTTGGTAAAAACCAAAAAAAAAACACACGAAAATTAACGCTCCAGCCGGTTTTGTCGGAATCGAGAAAACAGAAAAATACGCAACTGAGGCTATCCATAGTTACGAAGGGGGAAACAGCGCCAAAAGTACGGACGACAAAGAACGAAGAACACAAAGACCGAGCGCTGACTGATAACTGGTTTATTTCTGGAAACCAAAAAACATTTCCCCGCTAAATTTAGCAGAAAAAATTCCCCGCTAAATTTAGCGGAAAATTCCCCCTAAATGGGAGGCGAGCAGGAGAGGAGGAGGGGGATAGCCTCCTCTCCGTACCTTCCCCCTCCTCCTGAAGAGCTGCGCTCTAATTCGGCGTTACAGGGCCGAATTAGACGTCTTTCATTTATTATTACCGGCAATTTTTTTTATTTCTACTGTGAGTTTGTGCTGTCGGCATCGGATACTCCAAAGATATGGAATCTCCCTAAACAGAATGACACTGAGGTACGCCGTAGTGAGAGGCGCTGGCTTTGTTTTCTTCATGCCTTTGACGCACTGCATATAGAAACCTTTTGGTTTCTTCGTGCAGAGCTGTCGGCATGCCGGCATCAAACTGGTGCCCGTACAGAATAGATACAAATATCGAACGGGCACCCTTATCCCGCAATCTCATATGACCGGAACGGGTCCATCATTCGGCAAGTTTTTCACATGGGCCAACGATTCGTTAACCCGTTTGAATTTCAAAGGGTTTATTTCAGTAGGAAGGCTTCATGAATTTCACACGCAATTTTTGTTTTGAACTTGTTCAAGATTATAGTTACTTTAAAATCTGGTTAGCATTCGCAGCGGTCACAATTTACTGCCAACTGACCAGGCGGGTACTATCTATAGTAGCGGCAGTAAGATATCTTATTCTGTCGTTGATGCACTCGCCCGTCTGGTCAGGGTACATCCTTACACAGGACAAGGAAGTTTCATACGTCACACCAGTGGCACATTCAAGTAAGTGAGCCACGTGGCGCTTTGTGCTTCTTCCTTCTGTCACTACCGGCTCATCTGAGCTTCCGTTGATGCTTCCACACAGGTTATCTAGTTTGTTCGGTCTAGAAAATACAACCGGTAAATGGAACCGACTAGCTGTTTCAGGTTGTGAGGTAATTTGTGTATCTGGGGTAGGACCACAGGCTTGCCCTTTCTTCTGAGCGCACTGTCGGGCTGCTCGTCACGACTTTTCATATCTATTTTTTTGCGAGTGTTTCTGACACGCCACAGAGAACTTGTGCGCCGGCAACCCCCAGTTTGCTGAGCTGTAGATGAAAGCTACTACTCATTTGGTGATGGCATGATATTTTTTTTCAGGGAGGAGGCACTGCAGATGTAGGCGATTCCCCTCTTTACGAGCTTGGAGTGATCGGAGCCAAACGGTAAGATTCTCTTCTTGGATCATGGCTCGTACGCCCAGCAGATATAGTTGTTTCCAATATAAATTCTCAGATTCAGAGACTGCAATTGGCCAGGGCTTGCCGTTTCATGAGCAAAATCAAGCCGAACGCTTCATCAGCACTTTCTATACAATTAAACACGAACACCAAACAAAATCATCAACGTATCTTAAAACGTTCAGGTCGTCTTTTTTTTTTTTTTTTTTTTTTTTTTTTAACCACCTTTTCACAAAAGGCGAAACAAATGTCCCATAGAACAAGTGCTACTCTTGAGCCTATGCCTATCCCACGCTTTTGCAAATAGAGTTCTCCACAAAAGGAGCCACATTGGAGCCAAAATATTAAGTCAACACCTAAAAAAAGAAAAGGATTCTACCGTTAGGTTAGATGAATTCCGAAAAGGTATTTTCCCATTTTATCCATTTTCTTTAATGCAAAGTTTAACATACGCCAGCAGTTGTTCGCGCGGAATGGACTAGAATAAATCTTCTAGATCAATAAGAAATCCCATTGCTTTTTTCACGACTCCTCCCTGTAATAACTATATTATTTCCTTGGAATTTATATCTGAAAAGGGACCCCAGCAGCTCCAAAGACGAAAAGTGCTTGCAGAGGAAACCGCCTACATCCAGCTGCCATGATCTCTATTGGTTACGATAACCCTGAACGGAGATCTATTATTGTGCGTTTTATCTGTGAAGAAGACTTGGAAATTGACTTTCTTGACACTAACACTTCTTTGTTTAGCCCTGGTAATTATAATCTCTTGCATAAAACCTTAGCTTGCGATTTTACTTTAGTCAGAAATACACTCATTATATTTCGTGCTTATGTCTTACAAATTTCAGTGGAAGTATGCCGTGTCAATTGTTAGCATATATTTCCTTCTGTCTCTGTCTTTAGGCGCTTTTCTTCAAGAATGTACAACCAACTAGCCCAACGTGCCGTCTTAATACATGGCAACAAGTTGATTTGCCTCATCAACGGCGATGAAAAAGGTTGTATCGTTTGCGTGTATTACAAATTTAGTAGTCTGGTCAGTGTTCACAATATCTCTGACATAAACGTTAAAAAATAAAGGTCCAAAGGTACTCCCTTGAGATACTCTGCCTAAGTGAAGGCCCATTCACACAAGAGCTTTTAGCTTACGTTTTCTCACGTTACGTTACGATTCACCGACGCATCCGTCCTTTGCATGTCCCGTGCAAAGCTGCTGTTTTCGTTGGTAACACCGCTTCGTGCAAAGCACGCACGTCCTAGTGACTCTCCACTTGGGCATTCGTAAGCTCCCGTGGCATTAAGCAACATAAGCAATCGTTGGTGTGTGAACGGGCCTTTAGACAATTGCTACCAAATATTAATTGCAAACGGGAGACGGGGACCGGAATGCTCTAAGAGCGAAAGCATTTGGGCATGTTCTGTCTTTTGTTGTTTTAAGTTATCAGTACCCAGGTATATAGTAATGCGCTAAACATAGGCGGGGCGTACTTACCATCATAAAAAAAGCCAGCAGCTACCAGCGACTCAACGTCTTGGAATTTTTCCCGGGGAAAGTTGGTCATTGTTGCTCGTCTTGCATCTTCAGAGGCATACTTGGGATACTTTGCTGTTCTGTGGCACGTGTTGGCATTTCTTCTTACAAGATCAATGCTGCGGGCGGAGGAAGGTTTAACTTGTTCGGGGCTCTGTTCTGAGGACACGGAACGCAGATTTTCATCTGATGATGCCCCTGCTGTAAACGGGGATGCCGTACAAGATGCTTGAGCCAATTCTGATTCTACTTCATTGTGTGGATGTTCCGATGAATGAGAGTTATCATTTAAAACCGGGGCAAGTGGATTTGTACTGCTTTTTGCTGAACTGGTATGCGCATCCCCTTCCTGAAATTCCATGCTTCACTGCTTTCCTGTGAAAGTAAACAAATCACAATAAGCGGATGGGAGTACTATAGCGAGGAAATCACCAAAATTTCGCAAAATATAATGGCCTTAATCTGGGTAAAAACAATTCACTCTTCACGATTTTATAGGAAAAACCTTAATTGGAGACTTTTGATACGTTGTGATGTACACTAAGTAAAAACGGTGAAAACAGTGGTACCTCTAATTTCGCTAACACAAAAGGTTCTGAACAAAATATAGAGCTCCTCAATTATTAGTACCTGCAAATCTAAAAAAAAAAAAGTTATAATTTATTTGAAGAATACATTATAATTTATAACTACTAAATTCTTATTTCATTCAATTATTTCGTTTTAACTAATTTAACGTGGCAATTTTTTTAATGCTCCTAAGTCTTAAAAATAAGGTGCAACAAAAATATTTAACACAATACTTAGTTTATGCCGACGAGTACAACTCAAAGTAGAACAGTAAAAAAGCGCAGCTTGATAATGCGTTTCTCGAAACGCGGAACAAATCGCTCCTGCAAAAATTACGTATCACCTACAAAGAGGGCGTTGATGTCATTTTGGTGTTGCCAAAGACAATAAAGAGTTAAAAATAGTTCATGACGTTCGCTGTAATTAGGTCTTCAATTAATTTGCACTTATTAGCTTTTTAATTCGTAGAATTAAAGGTATGTATTCGATTGTAAACTGTCTGCGCATTATCTAAAGATCACTAAATGAGCCCGTGCCTTTTAATACTACATGGAGCGCAAAAGATTTTACAACGCTCTGAACAAAACAAAAACACTTAATTTGGACGTTTTTAGAGTTTCGGTTCCCTATCAAAACATATCCGCGCCAGCGGTCCTGCTCCCCCGTGGCCAAAGCGCGCATGTAATGTGCGCCGTCACCCATTCCTTGCATGACGGAGGTGAACCCAAAAATCACAGATTATTCACAGCGTTTCATTTCGCCACCTTGCGCCACTCTTCTTTCTCTCCTTTGAGGAAGGCCCTTTGGCCACGCGTAGCAATTGAAAAATTGAGGCTTAGAAACGAGTCTAAACTTATTTTAATGCGAAAGCATTAACCATCCCATGAAGGGGAGCCGGCGGCGCCTGTAACCACCAAAAAGAACGCGAAAGAGATGCCCATTCTCCAATTGGCTCAGCAAAACGGCCCCTAGATAGCCATTAGCGGCCACTTCATGAGAGCGCGCGCTCGCCCGACGCTCTCGTGTCAGGCGTTGCCGGAGGGGGGGAGGGGGGGCTGCGGCCGCTTCACGAGAGCGCGCGCTCGGCAACCTCGGCAGTAGCAAAACGTGGCCGTCCGCGCCCGTACACCGCAGATGAACTAACATAGCGGAAGAACGACATTCATGCGTTCGCGTTCACAACTCATAAGAAGTGCTTAGTTGGCTTCAGAATTTTCTTACGTACATGGCAAGCGCAGCAGCGTAAAATGCTGCGCATGCCAGATATTTTTCTAGGGTGAGCTTATTTAGTTGCATTTGATGATGCTAGAAAATGTCTAGTTAACTTCAAGATTTAAAAGGTAATGACTCCAAGGAAATTAAAGCCGTGATTATAGCCAACGTTATGTTTTAAAATAGGCCCTTTTGAAGGAGTAAATAACACAATATCCTTTTTTGTGAGGGATACCTTTGGAGGAGCGATTTAGCCCGCACTTTGAGATACAGACCAGAGGTCTCAAACTATATCGAACCTGGGGGCCAGATATTTTACCCCGAGAGGATGACGGCCAAGCAAGCAAAACGCCAGCTTCCCCGACGTTTTGCCAAGCTTGAACCATCGCAGCCTTGGAAAATACAGTCCCCGCCGCTCCCCAAAATGAAAAAGCAAGCACTGCGACCGGCGAACCGGATACGTCTCGCCGAGTCGGCCGGGTGGGGCGAGCGAACACGTCACCTCCTCTCCTCTTTCGGCTTCTGATTGGTCGAACGCACCCGAACGCACCGCAACGCTTCGGAAAGTTGAGCGAGTCTCTACTCGCTTGCGTCGCGCTACCGAGCGTTGCGGGAAGGCGCGCGTCGCTCTGCAAGCGACCGCGCCTGGCCGCAAGGACTCCGCAACGCACTCAAACGCGTTCAAACGCGAATGTGCGTATGGCCCTAAACGCGTTCAAACGCGAATGTGCGTATGGACCTTTAGTCCATCGTAGGACGAGACGAAGTATAGTAACCTAGCAGTGGGAATGTCGTGCAAATGATTAGCATAAGAAAGAGCTGAGATGCAAAAATTAAGGCGAACAAATAGTCGATAAAAAAAGCACAAGAGTGCAAGAATAAGGAACACATAAGACCAGAGCTAAGTTTAGAACTAATGCTAACGCCTTAAAAAAAAAGAGAAGGCCGGATTTTTAAGACGCCGGACATTATACTATTATGGCCATGTAAAAAACAGCGCTGAAGGAAGTGGTAATACGCACAGAGGGCAAAGTGAAAGCCAGGGCCCACTTCATGCAATTCCGCCGAAGTGAGCTTTGAATACAATGTTTTTTATCTCCTCCTTGCATTTCTATGACGTATTGGGTTTCCTCCGAAGCCATACCTTTCCTGTGAGTTTAGCTGATAAGTCTGTTATCTAAAAACGTATTTTATATGGCGGCCGGAATATTTTACTGCGTATTTCCTGTCAATAACCGCTAAGGCGTGAGCAGCAGATAATTGACAGGAAGCTGACGAATGAGTTGACCTACAATCGTCGACACGTTACAATCCCAGCGGCAAGTGCCATACGCCACTGGCGTCGCCGTTTTTCTAACGATTTTTTTTTTTTTTTTTGTCTCCAATATGGCAGTGAGCGCTGTTAGCGACGCCTGCGGTACGGAGCGACGCGGGCTTCTCGAAGTTATACTTTTCTGCTCTTTACATGTACCCAGGCTTATGCAACACCACCCCTGGAATAATCAAAGCCTGCGCGCTGGACTTTTGACATCATCGCAGTTAGGTCAAGCGAATGCACACATTCGACGCGAGCGCTGCGTCAGCACTCAGCTGGGCCTTGCGTCCGATCAACGTGTCGAAGGGCGCTCGGCATCGGGCTCGGGTTCATTTGACTGGTTGGCGCCAACCGACTACGCTGGTAGCTGCGCCGATAACAGCGCCACCAGATTGGTGCAACTTCACAGCCGCGAGTGGCTGTAATAAAAATAATAATAATAATAATAATAATAATAGCTTTTTTATTTATCGTATAAATAGGATGGGAGCTAAGGAAAAAAGCTGTACAAGCAGATTGACTGGTAATCAGCCCTCCACTGGTACACAGCAGTTGCGAAAAACATGCACGAGAAATTATATAACGCAAATACTTAACAAACAATAAAGCAATAAAGAAAGTTTCCTCCATAATCGACAACGGTAAAAACTGTTTTTTTTTATGAAAAATGTTTCCTTATCTCACTTGTGCTACAAGATTTTATATAAAAACTATAGCGCACAGGTGCGCTTAATAATGCCGACAAGGTCTCTTCGATCATTAAAAGGCCAGAATGTGTGCGTGATGACTCTACTGCCCAGAGATCCGAGTGACGAGTGGAGTGTGTGATAAATTTGTTTCTACCTGATGCCAAACAATAATAAAAAGCTATTCGTCTCACGACATTTCTGTTAATACTTCATACAATGTCCACATTCATCGTATCGGAATATGTTCAAACCACCCAGCCTCTCAAGAAGTTGGTTAATATGATGACTATAGGAAAGTCAGAAGTAAACTCGTACTGAGTGATTTCACTCAGTTGTTGCCTTGTATGTATAGTTTCGTGTTTTAGGATCAATCCGAAAAATCAGACGAACACCCACCGGTTAAATTTTCGTCAATCCGTTTATCCGTTAAACTCCGATATTGTTTCTCCCAATCTAGAAAAAAGAACAAGGACGAAACTCTACTCTTAAGTTTGGTCAGCGCAAAGAATTACCTAAAAAAAAATCCCTGTTTTTTTTTTGTTTTTTTTTTTTTTTGTTTTAATCTTGGTTTATTGACAAGAGTGGTCTTACCGTTTATATTGCCAAGGTTAATTAGGACAAGAGGTACTTTTATTTTTGGGTCACCACGCAAGTTGGTGTTCTGACATCCAGTTTGCACTAAACCATTTGTTCTCCTAAAGGGAGGACGGGCTGTGCTTTGGAAATAAAAATTCTCGGAGCGAGCAGCCGACTAAACCCAGGTTAGTCGGCTGCTCGCTGTGGAAATTTTTAATCGTCTGTTGCTAGTTGAAAGATGTGGTTGTGTCGTCCCAAAGTTTATTGTTTACTCGTTCTTCATCCATCAATTGAACCAACACGCTCTTCCCCCAAGCATACCTACTTATACTCCAACAGACTGTTCACAAAAAAGATCGCGTTTGCCCACACCGGATATGGGCAATGCGCGTGCGCAAAACCAAGATTCGCGAGAGGCGAAACAACTGCGCATGCGCTACTCCGATAGCAGCGCCACCGTAGTGGCGTGACGTCACAGAGTTTCCTGGCTCTAGACCTTACATGATATGAACTATTTGCACCACTCAGGTGGGCGCCGACAACGTTACTACAACAACTCAGTTACGAAACTGTCATAGAGCCTGCTCTGAAAAAGTGGCACCGATCCGTACCCAAGAACCGGACTAATGGCGACCGCAACGCCGCCATTTCTCCCGCAGCGGCCACTCGGCGAACTGCACGGCTGCTTGTGTTAATTCGAGAGTATCGCATACGACCCACGAGCGCCGACGAGTCGGCCAGCCTTAGATTAAACTGCGGTATCAGTTTATCAGTTCCAAAGTGCGATTCGTCACGTGGAACGTTGTTGACTGCTGATATTCCCGCGAGGGTAAGCTCTGATAACGACTAACGGCCTTTACTACATCCGCAGCAAGCGGAGTCGGAAGGGTTAAAGTTCCCTCATATAAGAGGAGTCCTTTACGCTTTCTAGTGGTAACGTCATTCTTTGAAGCGCCGAGTGCGTGTCGGTGCAGGTACATAGTAGGAAGCGAATGACGGTGCACAGCAGCGAAATGAACTGAAAGGCTCCATTTTGTTCCAGCGGAGTAAGCTTCGTCGTGCATGTCGGTTGTCGTTACAAATGTATCAAGGTATTTCAATTAAGTGTCCTTTCAAAACAATATTTCGCGAAAAGCAAATATCTTCTAGTTGGGGGGGAAGGGGGGGGGGGGGGCTTATTTATAGTAACCAATGTCATTTAGGGGCGTACTTGTTTACCACATTACGCATTCGGTCAATACATTACCGGTACGCCAGTTATGATCATCACACCAAACTTAGTACCAAAAAAAAAGCTGTAATTTTTTTTTTTAATTTTTTAGAAAATTGTTAGGCAATTGTGTTGCATAAGTAAAGCGTTCTAACAGCACAAATGTTTAACGATACTCTGAGTTTCACGTAAGCCGGGTTGATGAACCTGGCGATATTCCAGAGCCTTCCATTTTCTCGAGCACCTCTCCCGCAGTGCGCACAGGTGGTCGAGCTCCTCCTCGCCTACCACTTTGGTCACGTGACCTCCCCCGTTAACCAATCAGAACCGAGCTTCGCAACCACGCTTAACTGGCTTTACTGCTAGGCTTCACAAAATGCTGAGCTCCTAACCAAAGCGTTAGTATCTAGTCTTATTAAGTAAATTTATAATGTTTAACTCGTGTCTGAGCTGTATTAGTTAATTCAATATTGAAGTATATGGGCATTTCTGTGCTCGAGATGACGCTGCGGAAAGTAGAGGAAGCCCAAATTCGAGACATTTATCTCACGCATTCTTGGACGAAACAATAAAGTGCCAGTTAGGGGCTGGCACACTAGGACCAAATCTTTATGTTAGTGTAGAAAAAAGCGTTGACTCGTGAACAGTTCGCCAGTTGCGCAACAGTTACAAACATATACAAGTAATCTATTTGCCACCATATGAGCTGAAACGGTTGTAGGCAACCAGTGCTGTAAATATTACCAGTAATGACGTTACTGGTAATACGTTAGCCTTTTCAGTAACGTACTGAAGTACAAGTTATTTTCTAAATGACTCACGAGTTGAGTAATGTCGTTACTATTTCGCAGTGTCGTGTATAAGATTTTGTTATTGGTTCCCAATTAATACTGTTTCGTTATTTAAGCTTAAACACAAAATAATTATCTTGTAAACTGCACTGAAAAGAGCAAAAAATATTTTTGTTTCTTCTCTGCAGCACCACTTGAATATCTTTTACTGAGGAAGCAAAGTCTATCCAATCCAAATTTAAAAACCAAAACATATGTTAGGCGTTCGATGACACGAATATAATAAATAACACGAAATCACTTAGTCAACGCTTAATCATTCCCGAAGTTTATATTCTCTGCTTATCAAAGCCGAATAAGCATCAAATATTAAGTAAAGCAAAAGTAACAATTGTTACATTGTGGAAGTAAAAGAAATTTAATATCTTTTGTTGCTTCTGCAGGATGGTAACGAATCTCAGAAACGCGCTCATTTTTGACGAACTAGCGGCTAACGATGTTTCGTTACTTATTCTCGGTAACGGGCACAAAACTCTACCTAGCTCAGCCTGAAACCGTTAGATAACGCTGCAGGATTCCTCGGCACAAATTTCCTTACCTTTTTTTATGTTCTCGACGACACGGGTACTGCAGCAGCGTTTCCAAAACGGGCTTCGTTCTCTTCTCCCGTGGAGGGCTGTTCGCACTATCACGGACTTTTGTTGTGCCCGGCAGATATCTTATCCACACGCCATAGGCTTGCACCCCAAGCTCCCCACCCCCCCCCCCCCCCCCCTTCTCCCCCTCCGCGCACTTCCAGATATGCTTTCCTGGTACTAGCGCGCGACTCCAGCAAAACGGACGCCACCAAGCGGAAAAACCGGGAACCAGCCGGACCAGGTCGATCGCTCCGCGCCCGTCCGCGTCTCTGGTGGTTTTCGCGGACACGTGTTGTCGGCGCGGTGGCGAACAGTGTAATTTGACGAAGGTCCGAAAATTTCTTAAGTTTGCCTGAGTGTTCATTAGTGTAGGGAAGCCTCAGTAGATTGTTTCCTTCCATCACCTGTTTGAAAGACCGTTTAGTCCACAGCACACGGTCGCGTGCTTTCGATTTCTTGGATGGGAAGGAATCACGGAAAAAGGTTTTAATTATTTGTCTGTCTCTAGTCACATTCAAAGTGACGACTACTTGGTAACTGATAAGTGGTTTCTTTATACGGATGTAGAACAGTGGACTGAGGACGACAGACGAGGCGTTACACTGTAGGGAACACCAATGTTGCAGTCAAGTGAATGGGGAGGCTCGACAGCTGCTTTTCTCGAGTTTAGCTATGTTTGATTAGCTTCAAGTTTGAGCCGGTGCGTTGTCTATTCATCTTAGCTGCTTTCCGCCGAAATAGATTCTGGACCACACTGAAGGAGTTTGGGCTGATTTCGCAATTACTTTATTCAGGAAAACCTGCTCGCTGCAAATGATGAATGAGGGAAATGATCTGCCTTCAAAAGGTGGGGGACGAGTCTCGCAACGTTAGAAGCTGTCACGGCATTTCGATCTATCGCGCCTCCAATATTCATATTATACCCCCGTCGAAGCCAGCAGCAATATAAGTCTACATTTCTCAAATTAACCGGCCACAAAAAAAAAAAAAATTTTTTATTTGTTCTGTTGAGGATTTGAAGCGAAGTTCAATGCGCAGAGAGGTTGTGCGTGAATCTCCGATGAACATTCTCTTCCGTTTGTCTCCGTGCTGCCGGCTAGAACCATTTGGCTAAGTTTAATTAATATCTCTCTGTCTGTCAAATATACTTTTATTCAGCAGTTCACCTAATAGCTAGTCAACTAAGCTCATATTTCAACCCGAAGAATATACTCATATCGCTTTAGTGGGACCATAGTACGTAATATAACACATAACCCGCTCGTCAAAATGACTTCTCGATTGCTACTAAAACCTGAATTGGAACACGACTATCAGCTGCTTAGTGGGGCGCCGGCGGGTTAACATGGTCCTTAGCAGAAGCGCTTGCTTAATTTTCTTAATTTTCCTGCAGCCTGTGTTGTTGGCCGAGCAGACGACAGGAGCTGTAACTTAAACGCGGTGTTACGATAAAAAACTAAAGCTACTGATGCCGGGTCGGCCGTACCGGGGAGCGATGCCTGGCGGGTCGTGCCTCGACAAACGCTACCCACGATCAGCGTCGCAGGAAACAGACAGACATCGGTTGTGGGACCAAACTGCACGGGCGGCAGGCGTGGTGGCTGCCACTACGACGCGGGATCCGCTGGCGATACTGCGGCTCTCGGTCAGATAGTCTGGTGGGTCGTGCCTCGACTTTCTTTCAGGGAGTCAGCTCGCTCACTCCTCCAGTGGGATCGGCTCTCCCTTATAAGTAGGGTTCAGAGTTTTCGGTTTAAACCGATAAAAACCGATAAAAGTACGCCGAATCCATTTTCGGAAATTCGGTTTTAACCGAAAAAGGTCAGTTTTTAGGTTCGGCACTTCCGATTTAAACCAATAAAAACCGATAAAAGTATGTCGATTCCATTTTTTAAAATTCAGTTTTAACCGGAAAAGGTCACTTTGACCTTCATTCGTACCGCAGAGCCGTGGCGAAAAAGTGGAACGACTGTGTCTACCGAAACGAGTTCGAATGTATGGGATACACGGATGCCATCACGACGTTTTGGTTTAATGTACGCATCATCAATCGAAACGTGATGTGCGAAATGCCCCATGACTCCGCCATGGATGCAGGAATTTCCTGAAGGGGGTGGGGGTCAGGTGTTGGTCAGCGTAGCATATGTTTAGGAACCCCCACCCCCCCTTCTTCTCCGTTTTACGCCCTAAATTTTACACATGCAGAAATCAAGAGGGGGGTCAGGACATCCGGACCCCCCCTCCAAATAAGCCCCTGTGTACGAGCATGTTTTCAAACTCGTTGTAAGGAAGACTGACTTGATGCAAGCTCTGCATGTGGTGTTGTGCTTCAAAACGTCGCACCGTGTCTCTTTTGGTGGTCACAATTGGTTGATTAATCGGCCGATCTTGACTCAGGCAGCGCTCCATCTATCAGCCTGCCCATGTCCAGTGTTAGCGTTGAGAGAGCATTTTCGAAGCTCAGGTCATATTAACAGTAAATAAAGAGTGCGAATCAACGAGAACATGCGAAAGTACGTGTGTGTGTACTATAATAAGATCACTTAATCCGGATGTGCAGAAGGTAAAGTTCCATGTTTTTTGGGCATAGGCTTCATATATATAACTTGTCTGTACATCTGGTTTTTTTTTTTCTTTTACAGTTGCAAACATTTGCCCAATAAAGTGTCAATTTCTTTTTCAATGCATCTGCTCCGCTATTCTTTGAGTGATCGCAAATATCAGAGCTACAAGGATCATCATATCCGGTGTACGTTGGTGTTTATTTTATATTCATCGAAAAAAGCCGATAAAATTTTGTGGAAATAAATATACGCCGAAAGAAACCGAAAATATGATTTTAATATAAACACCGAAAAAAGTACGCCGAATTTTGAAAAAATAGAAACCGAAAACGCGGAACCCTACTTATAAGGGGTGCCCGACCCCAAAATATGAGTCTCTTGGAGATTAAAGGATTAGGGAGAGGAGGGAAGGCGAGGAGGAATCGTCCCGTGCGCCATCTAGCTGTTCCTGCGTATACTTCGCTAAGAGCCACTAGCGCCATCTATGTAGGTCCCGTGCAGTTACATTTATTTTTGTAACATCACTTTCCCCTCAAAAAAAAAAAAAAAAAAAACGAGTGTCCCACTCAGCCACTCACTTTCGATTAAGTACTAATAATATATAAAATCGTCTTGGCGGGGTCTAGTATGTTCCCTGCCTGGTCTAGTGTTCAGCCTTTTGCTCACAGTCACTGCAGTTGTTGGCGTTGTCTCCCCAGCTTCTGAGAAGTCTTCTGCGTCGAAGAACTCCTCGTTGTCCTCGTCAGCACTGTCACAAGCACTGTCCACTGGAGCTGACGATTCGGTCTCGGCCGCAGGCTTGGTCCCTGCCGGCAAGTCGCTGGTGGCCGCTGCCTTGTCTCCCTGAGGAACCTCGTCGTCCGCCATCTCCCTGGCGATGTACGGTTTAAGTCGTTCCACGTTGACGACGTCCCGCTTCCCTCGTCGGGTTTCCACCTCCCAGTCGCTCGCCGACGTTTGCTTCACTATGCGAAATGGCCCGTTGCCAATGGGTGGAGGAACTTCGTCGTCTTCCCCCGTTTCGAGGTGGGCATTCGGATGTGGACCAGGTTACCCGGGGAAAAACTCTGGGTCCGCCGTCCCGTGTCATAGCGCTCTTTGCTGTTCTCCTTGGTCAAGAGCTCTCTTTCCGTGACGAGTTTCTTGGCCTCCTCCCAGCGCTCGGCGATGTCCTCATTCGGTGTCACTTGTAACTCATGGGCTCATGGGCTCGGAGTCCTAGTGTGGCGTCGATGGGCAGTGTTGGCTCCCTTGCATGAAGGAGGAAAAACGGAGAGTACCCGGTTGTCTCGTGCACCGAAGAGTTGTACGCAAAGACGACGTATTGAAGGAACTGGTCCCAGTCTCGGTGATGAGCGGAGACATACTTGCTGATCATCGCTGCCAGGGTTCGGTTGAATCTTTCGCAGAGGCCATTGGTTTGTGGGTGGTACGCGGTGGTACGGCGTGGTTGGTGTTTGTCAGCCGGAATAATTCTTCCATCATCTCCGCTGTGAAATGACGCCCCCTGTCCGTAATGACTCGTTCCGGTGCTCCGTGCCTGAGGACCATTGAATCCATCAAGGCTTTTGCTGCGCAGGCCGCCGTTGCCTCAGGTGTTGCCACTGCTTGTACCCACTTGGTGTAATAGTCAGCCATCACCACGATGTACTTGTTCCCACCCTGGGACTCCGTCAGCGGACCCACGAAGTCCATCCCGATCTGCTGGAAGGGGTGCAGCGTCGGTTCAAGTGGTTGTAGTTCTCCTGCCGGCTTCTGGTTAGGAGTGTTCCTTGTCTGACAGTCGGGGCATGACTGCACGTAGTGTGTGATCTCGGCGAACATTTTTGGCCAGAAATAGCGTTGTCGGATTTTCTTTCGCGTCCGTCTCACCCCGAGATGCCCCGCTGTGGTGTCGTCGTGGCACGCGGCAAGGATCTCGCGCCGCAGGGTCCTTGGCACTGCGAGCGCCAGTCGTTCCTCAGCGAAGCCCTTGGCTCTTCGATAGAAGACGCCGTCCATGAGGGAGAAAGGCGTTGCCGTTCTCTTTGTTCTTTTCCCAATTGGTTGCTCCGGTTTCTCAAGATGTTTGATGATTGGCTTCAAGAAAGGATCTTCGGTTTGAAGTTTTCTGATGTCTTCTTTGGATACCATTAGGAGCGGCAGCTCTTCTTCGCCATCAGGTGCAGGATCATGAGGAAGCCGTGACAGTGCGTCCGCGTTCATGTTTTTGCTCCCTGGTCGGTGCTTCAGGGTCAGGTTGAATTCTTGTAGCATCAAACTCCAGCGGATGAGACGTCCATTCGGGTTCCTCACTGTCATTAGCCACGTAAGGCTGGCCTGATCTGTGACAATCGTAACCGGTGTGCCGAATATATACGGTCTGAACTGCTTCGTGGCGTAGACAACAGCCAAACATTCTTGCTCGGTTGTGCTGTAGTTCATCCCCGCTTTGTTCAGGTGTCGACTGGCGAACCCCACGACAAATTCTTCCTCGCCATCTTTCTGAACGAGCACAGCGCCGATCCCGTAGCCGCAGGCGACTGTGTGGATCTCGATGGTCAGGTCAGGATTGAATAATCGAAGAACTGGGTCGCTGGTCAGCCGGTTTTTTAGTGTCTCGAAGAACCCTTGGCATGCCTGGTCCTAGGTGAACTTGACATCCAATCTC